TCCCTTGGAAGAACAAAAGGATCAAATGTGAATCTCTTTGTCATCTCAATAGCAAGGTCAGAAACAATTTCCATATCAAGCATTGATATACTTCCAGCCACACTGTGTCCTACCCCACTCAATATTTCTGGCAATGATGGAGAAAGCCTCGGCTTCTTAACAACTTCAACCTGTCTTTCCAGAAGTATGCTGGCCTTTTGCTTTGCTATTGCGTCCTTATGAGAAATGTCACTGATGGCTTCAACAAGTTCAAGTTTGACAGTATCATTGAGAATTATTTGTAATCGCAGGATTTGTCTTGTAAAACTTCAAGAGCCCACAGAAAATGTGTGTAACAGTGCTGCCCTGCGATTTCAGATTCTTTAACCGCCAATGTCCCAAATCTGAGAAGTTTTCTTCTTTCCTTTTCTCTATAGGCTGAAACCCCAGCGATGACGTTAACTGATTAGCAGAGCCAAGTCCAGAACCCTTGCTTTCATAGCATTTAGGAAATGTTAATTCAACTCCCTTTGGTTCCCCAGGCTCTATTGGCCCAGACAAGATACTCTCGGGGCTTCCTTTCATCCCATCTTTTCTTACAAGAGTGTAAATAAGTTCTATGCAGTTTTCAACATCATCAGTAGTCAAATTCAGAATGTAACTAGAACTGATTTTATCTTTGATGCCACCTGTCTTTATTTGAGACCATTCACCTGAACATTCACCCATTGCAAAATCCCCCCTGGTACAATGACTGTCAACAATAATCACCCTCTCCTTTTCTTCTCTCACAAACTTGTCATCTTAATTAGTGATAACTAGTCCTTCTAAGGCACTAGTCTGTGAATTATCCTTCATCACTTGCTTTGCCAAAGCGGGATGCTCCCCTTGGACCGGTTGTAATTTACCTGAACACCTTCCATTGTCTTCCTTCATGGGCATGTTCACATCATTCTGAATAGTTGATGGGGATTCCGTAGGTTCAGTAGTATCCTCATCATTCTCCAGTTCCGGGACTGGTGGTGCAACAAACAAGCCCTTTTTGGATTCTACAGGGTCGATGGTTCTGGATGCAGAGGATACTTGCGCTCCGGGAGAAGCCAATGGCGACCAACCCTGTGTACTGAGAATAGTCGCGCGAATGTGAACTGGGTAAAGTGGTTCGCATCTGCGAACTGGGAGAAATAAATGACGATGTTGACTGCAAAGACTTTTGCGAACCGGAAGGATAAGATATCGTCGAACTCAGCGATTTCGAACTGAGAGAGGAAGTTCGAGATTGAACCTGCGCACTTAGTTCGCATCTGCGAACAGTGAGAAGCCGGACGATGCAATGATCATGTATACTGGTTCCCTGTCTTCAGACTGCATATAGGCTGGAAATGCCGATTTATGGATCCCTTCAGAGCGTTCCAACTATATTCTCTCGTCTCAAATTGCCACCATAGAAACCAGTCAAATGCCCTGTCCTCCATCGCACCTTCTGCTATTTCAACTTTATTTTTCTCCGCAGTAGCTTTGAGACGGAAATATTCTTCCATCCTCACAATCCAACTGTCTGCATTATCCCCGTTAAACCACGGTAGTTCAACCTTTTCTTCTGTACGAATATCTCTTCTCTTGCTATCGCGACCCTTACTGGAGCGAGAGTGATTAGAATTACCTTCCCACGCAGGCCGCAGCTAAACGCTCAGATTCCTTTGTTCGTCGATGTTGAGAAGTGTGCAATCTTCCTCTTGTTTGAAACTGTTCATTTATCGCCGCCAGGGATGCAGCGATATTCTCCATCGCGGATTTCCTCTCCATGTTCGAACACTTCTCCAGGTTCGAACGCATGTCCAGGTTCAAACCAAAGGCGTGCAGTTCTGACCGTAGTTGTGCTCTGGTCCGCTCAGCGACCCTCTTCGTTCATTCGTGTATCATCAACGCGAATACTCGTTTTCCTCTTCCGCGACAGGGATGTGACGATCAATTAAGACTCGAGGAATGAGTGCTCTGATACCATTGATAGAACACTAGCAAAGATACAGGCAAAACAGTAAAGGAAATAGCAGATCCGATCAAAATAGTAGAGATAATGAAGTTTATTTGATAGGGAAGATAATCCGTAGGTAGCTAGGCAACAATGGGACTGTTCGAGAAGCCCACTCTCCAAGGCAACACTCAATTCAATAACAGCCTGCATTAATTAGCTATTGGCCAACTATTTATAGTAAAAGTATCCACGCAGGGACAAAAGCAAATAACCAACTAGATATCGAATTACTTAACAGCCCTTCCTCACCTGTTTATACTACTAAATATACCCTTACTATTATTAATATTTCTTATTATTAGCCTACTAAGCCATATTCCTATCATCTTGATGCGTTAGTTTGTTATGACCTACTCTATACTATTATTGGGAGAAAGAACAAAATGGACACCAAGGTTATTTATGAAGGTCAGATTAGACATGAAGCTTTTAAGTGGACCAAATTAACACATAATTGACCTTTTATATCACATTTGGACACTCAATAACTTGGTCTTAAACGGTGCCCAGTTCTGTTAATTATAATAAAATTCATGGGAGAATTTTAAATCCCAGCAAGTTGACTTCATTTTCACATAGCAAAAGGTGAAAGCCTGATAATATATAACGGAGTAATTTGTAATGTGGGACATTCAGTTTACAAGTAATAGTTTGCAAGCTGTGTTGCTGAAATTGTTTTCCACCCTATTCACTGTTGATTTTGAGTTCGTTCATGCATAACTTTGCAAGGAAATTAGATTTTATCATTTGTTTTCAAACTGCTCTTCACAATTGTGATGTGGCTTGTATGTTTTGACTTTGAAAAGAGAACCTTCATTACTCTTCGAACAAAAAATAGTCCGATTACACTTGAGATCCTTACATTCAGTTGGAGGCCAACAATCTGTGAATATGTGTACAGATTTGGTCAACAGATCATGAGCTTTGCTATACCTTTTAATTTTACAAGAGCCATTTGCGTTGATTTTTCTGTTCATATTTGTGGGATATTTGTTCATCCTCGTGTTTTTACATTGTAAACATGAAAAATAACAGCGGGAGATGATACTAAAGAGACAAAAGAGGCAACCCAGCAGTGGGAAGATGATTGGGACGATGATGATGTCACTGATGACTTCTCTCTTCAACTAAGGAGAGAATTGGAAAGCCACATTGAGAAGAAGAACTGAGATGGTATCCCTTCATTTTCTAATACTTTAGCATGAAAAATGTCTCTCTAGTGTTAAGGATATTTGTACACTGCACTATTCTGTGAATGCTTGTACCTTAAACTTCTTGTTCCTTTTTGTGCGTGTGTTTTCAATCAAGATACTTACTAAGATACTTACTGCCTACATCTCCTTTATAACTTTGTCTGTGGCTTGAATTGCTTCAAGCATCTGTTACTGTTTTCTGCCTACCCCACAGTAGGCAGAAGAATTAGCAGTTACCTTTATGAGACAAATGTTTTCGAAATAATTGAGGCTATCATCTTCATCACCTTTCCTTTTATTTTGCTTCTTCAACGCCACTTTCAGCTTGGGATCGGTTTGGTTCCTCTTTAGTACCGGTGGAAACGTTTAAGAAAAGACAAGCCATGAAATCGGTTCGGCTAAGACTAAAAAAATTAGAGCTCGTTTGGTAACATTGAAATTTTGTTATATTGGCTGATTCTGTTCAAATTTATGAAGTTCTGGTTGAAGTGGTTAGATTGGTTGATTCTGTTGTGTTATGAAAAAAATATACTCGGTATTTAAAATAGGGAAAATGGTCAAATAGGCTCTCGAACTTACATAAAAAGGTCAAATAAGCCCTTATATAGGAGTCTTTGTCCGGTCGTCGCCATTTGGGGTAGTTTCCATTGGATTGTTTTGATGAAATTTTTTGAGCATCTTATTCATTAAGTCTAGTTTACTCATACCAAATTTCAGCTAACAATTCAACCGGAAAGGCATTCAAATGAATTCTTGAACATAACTGCGCTTTCCGATTGAAGTTTTATCTGGAATTTGGTATGAGTAAACTAGACTTAATGAATAAGATGCTCAAAAAAATTCATCAAAAAATTCCACCGAGAACCGCTCCAAATGGCGACGGTCGGACAAAGCCTCCTATATAAAAGCTTATTTGACCTTTTTATTTAAGTTCGAGGGCCTATATGACCCTTTTTCCTTTAAAATATATTTTATTAATAAAACAAAGGAAAAATTATATGAAAAATAGTTAAAATGATTATGTACAATAACTTTTACCAATTCAGCCAACAAAGTCACTCTAACTTTACTTATTTTGACTATTACACATTCAACACGTGAAATCAAATGTTACATGAGCCGGAAAACAAGTGCTCTTAGGATTGTTACGGAACCAAATCAAAGTCTGTAATCCCCTGATTTCTGCCATGAATTACTTTTTCAGGTTTGTAAAGACTTACAATTAGTTGAAGCATGAAAGTTCAATTTTTCAAAAGTAAAAGGGAAAAGGGCCAAAAATGACACTGATGTTGTTTAGCAATCTCATATAGGACACTGAAGTTTAAAGTGGATCATTTAAACACATAAGCCACCTGTTTGGGTTACATTTGGCCACTCCCTAACTGAGCCATCCATCTGTCGTTAACTCCCTCTTCTCCCCCCAATTAAATGCTACCCAACAACTCCTCAGCAACCCTAATAAAAACGATCAACGACTTCGAGGTGGACTGGTGAAGAGAAATCACGTTCGAGGTGGGTGATTTCACGTTCTAGCCTCATGGACATCTTCAAAAGTCATCCCAATAATAAAGCAAGTAGATCCATCTGTGGTAGTGTAGTTAACCCTCACATCTTCATCACTATCTTCTGCTTCCTCTTCTTCATTGCTACTATCAGAATCTAGTGGTTCCTCTTCAGCTTCCCCATCACTTACATAACCATTTGGCACCCCTCTAGTTTCTTGGGGAAGTACCCCCTCATTGACTGTTTCAGGGCTTTGGTTACTCACATTCTTACTCTGGTTGTTTTGAACAGAAGACCACTCTATTTGGGGAATGAGAAGGGGCTCGTCCAGTTGATGATCAGCATACAACTCTATATCATCAATCCAAGAAAAATTCCTAATCCGATTCAAAACCTTCCTAATTGTGTCACCATCTTCAACTAAAAATAGCCCATTGTCCAAATCTTTTCCGGGTACCAAGACATAAATGTTTTTTAGTGTTATGAAACCCAATTCCTCTTTGTAAGTTCTTTGTATGTCATGAAAGCACAGAAAGTCAGGATCAAACCTATATATTGTATGGACATCCCCATCAACATATTTCATTTTCGGGTGCAAAATCCATCTCCCACTGTGATTAAACCGCAGGTTCACGAACTCACTCATCCTTTAAGAGGAAAACGAAATAAGTACACTGAATACCTTTAAGCGTGACTGTGGATTCCAAAATCAGAAGCTAAGCACTCCCAGTCATTCATGTGCGTACGGAAGTAATCACTCTTCTTCTAAGCGCACTTACTTTCAAGCTAAGGATATTCATGGCAGATGAATTACCTTCATGGCAGATGAATTAGGGTTGTCAATTTTGTTGGGTAGCGTTTAATTAGGGGGGAGAAGAGGGAGTTAACGACAGATGGACGGCTCGGTTAGGGAGTGACCAAATGTAACCCAAACAGGTGGCTTATGTGTTTAAATGGTCCACTTTAAACTTCAGTGTCCTATCTGAGATTGCTAAACAACGTCAGTGTCATTTTTGGCCCTTTTCCCAAAGTAAAAAACCGGATCTTAACAAAATGAAATGAAAAATAAAATTAGTTCAGCCCAAAATTACATTGATCAGTTTTTTTGGATCAATGTAATTTTGGGTTGAACTAATTTTATTTTCAGCCCAAAATTACAAAACTTATAATTATACTATCTAGTTTTGATCCTTGTTGGTCTAGACAACAAGTTTGTAAATCTCCAATGTTGGTGACAAGAACAAGACATGAATTTCAAATATTTCAAACCTGAAAAAGTTATTTAACTTTGAATGTAGCAAAGGTAAACATGAATACCTTCTATATATCCAAAAATTTACTCTTTGAACCCCTTGCGAGATTTCCTGGATTTTCATTCATGCAAAGGAGACCAGATTATTTGCTAATTTTTCATGCTGAGGAAACCAGAGTTACAAACTTTGAGTAAATAACCGGATGTACATGTACATCTGGGTGTACGATATAAATTGCGTAGGTGGTAGTGGTGATGTGAAATATTTTGAGTGACTAACTTCCCAACCATCAAATCTATTGCATTAAATGCGTTTCCCGCCAATATCTTGCTTTCCCGCCAAGGGCTCTGTACGAACGTCCCACTGATCTCCTGACTTGGGCCAAAGTAAATTCAAGGCCAGACCCGTTGTTCGGGCCATGCTGAATGCCCTCCCTGAGGCTCTTGATCATCACCTGGCTCTATTTGGCCAATGACACTAATGTTGAGCGTCTTCGGCGATAGCCGATAGGACAAGCGTTGGACAGGCCTCCCTGTTGGATCACTCCCAAGTTTGGCCTTGATGGTTTTCTTGCTAAGGGGGTAATGGACCTCTCCTCTGTCGGGCCTATTAACCCAACACTATCTTATTTAAAATAATAATTATGATAAAATTAGCTAATAAAGGTCATAAAATAAAAATGAATCTCATTTTATAATTGTTTAAATTAAATATTTGGTGAAAAGTAACAACACAAGTATCACATAAAAAGAAAAACATTACTTAAAAATCTTTCTCGCAAGACATTGCGAAGCAAAATCATCGATAATTGCTTCATAATCAACCTTGGCTTTTTCGATATCTCATGCTCAATGCTTAAAATTTCTAACCCATTAAGCCTTTTTGAGACATAGTCTATCGCAAATAATTTATCAGAATCTCCATCTTTGAAAACATTACTGAAAAACGTTTCTCGCGAAATTTCTAACCCATTAAGCCTTTCTGAGACATAGTCTATCACAGATAATTCATCAAAATTTTTCCATTTGATCCCTTTTTACTTAAGCTTGCCTTTTCTAATCTTCTCTTCATTCTCTCTTTATACCAACCTGATTCACTCATTTTATCAAAAATACTTTATTGATCACCGTTGGACCGTTTAAAACCTTAAAAGAAGAAGTTTTTTGATCACTGAACACCGTTTGGGGTCCTCAATTGATTGACTTCTTAACAAACCGCTGAAGCATTCATGGCTTTGCAGCGTTCTTTAATCTTTACTCTTGTTGATTTAGGAATTTGGAAACAACAAATCAATTTGGATGGGCTTTGCGAATTGGGAGTCTTGGAATTAGGAGGCTTAACATAACTCGATTATATTGTAATTAAGAGGATTATAAAGCCTATAGATGTGAAGAGAATTAAGTGAGGCGTGCCTCTTTACATTTATTTTAAAAATTAAACGTTGGGCTTAATTAATTGAGCTTAAGAAAGCACATATACCTATCACAAAGAGAGTGATTAATTATTCATAGTCATCTTCTAAGGCTACTGCAACCTGGGGTGAAAAGTTATATTTGTGCTTTTCATCCCAAGGAGTGCTCCAACCCAATGTATTCAAGATTGTCAAAATAGGTTGAGGCACATCTGGGGAGATTAGATAGGTATTCTGGGAAGAGAGAGGCAATCACCTTGTCATATGGAGGAAAAAGCATTGGGGTCCATACAACATGTAAAACTCAATTTTCTTTAAAGTATAATAATTTTTTAATTTGATATTTATAAAAAAATATATCAAAATTCTTAAGTAACTTTTTTATGATCTTTCTTACGAACCAATATTGCATATATAAAATTAAAGAAATATGGGGTTTAAATTGCTAGAGTGTTTCAGACTCAAAGTTTTTCTTAAATAGATTCAAGTACTAAAATTAAGATCTCACTGTTAATTTTTTTTACACCTTTCAATTTTTTTTTTTTTAAAAATACGTATGAAGTAACAAAAAGAACTCCAAATTTATTTATTTTAAATCAAAATGTTTGACTTTTAAAATCATAATTATTCACATAAATGAAAAAAATTGATGTATAATAATAAAAGTAAGGCTTTAATTAAAAATTTTTACTAAGTGAATACATTAACAATGGTAGATTGCAGTAAAAACTGAATTGACAGAGTGAATTCATATAAAATCATGGGGAATGCGTTGAATAACAACTCAGACAAAAAAAACTCTTAATAAACATGAGTTAGTGCAGAAAAAGCGTCGAGGAACAAGAGCCAACACTAGGGAAACCCCAGGTGGCATTCTTTGGGTAGTAACGAATAAAAAATAATCTATGTTGTCACTCTTTTATTTTATTTTATTTCTACCATCTAGGGTTTTGTTTTTAGTCCCAAATCTTCTTTGATCGAGAGTTTTATCCATTTCAGGTGAGCGTGAGATTTGTTCTTCTCCTAGCAATGTTAAGAGGTTGTGTGTTCCTTGTCAATATAACCTATTGATTGGTGGATTTTTATTGTTCATGGTTTGCAAGGAGAGTTCAACAAAGTTTTTCTAAAACTTGAACTTCTCACTAGGGTTGGACTCGGGCCGGGCCAACCGGCCCGGAACCGGACCGGCCCGCCCGGTGAACCGGTTGGTTGGCTGGTTCGGGCCACCCGACCCGGTGGGATGGCGGTTCGGGCTCGGGCCCTTCAAAAGGTGAACCGGCCCGGCCGGTTCGGGCTCGGACCGGGCCATTTTTTTTGATTTTTTTTTAAGTTTTTGGGTTGGGCTGGGTATTTTGGGCCATTTGAGATGGTTAGGGTTGGTTTGGGGGTGAGGGGGAGGGTTGGGGGTTAACTAGGAAAAGCTAAAAAAAAAAAAAAATAGAACCGAGGCCTGGCCGGTTCAAGGCCCGAACCGGGCCCGACCCGAACCGAGTCCATCCCTACTTCTCACCCTCCTCCTGAACCATCACCTCACTTTGAGAGAAAGTTAGCGTTCAACTGGATTTCCTTTTCGATGGTTAATCAAACCGATGATTCAATCAATATCTACTTAGTTAAGTTTTCTGTTGGTTGTTGGTCAAATCAATTCTCCCTTTTCGGTGGCTAGTGAAAACGAAACTTTTATTTATAATTTTTAATTTTCTCTTTGGAGTAGCAAGAAGTGCAGCAAAGTAGGAAAGACTAGCCTGTTAGACTAGACTACACTACACTATTGCGAGGTTAGCGATCTGAAAGGATTTGTAGAATCATTTTTTCTATGTCTTATTCCATTGCAGAATTAGGGTATCTTTGTTATCATATAATGAATAAACTAGTGTTTTACTCGAGGGTTGACCCGGGCGGATTTTTGACAATGTTTGTAGGGAAATTACCCAAAATATGAGTAAATGAGGTTTGAAATTCCAAAATAGGACTACTATGTTTTTCAATTATGGTTTTGAAAAATACTGTCATAATTGAAAAATACTGTCATTAATTATAATTAATACTGTCATGTTAAATGCACTGTACTGCAACTATTTGGCAGTCACGCCTACAAGATGACAGTAAATACTGTCATGTTAGTCCTATTTCGGGAATAAAAACATAGTAGTCATATTTTGAAATTCCAAACTTCATTTACCCCTATTTTGGGAAACCTCTCGACTTTGTAAGGTATATATTTACACAGTATATAAATAATTCACCATTTTACTTTAAATGTTTCCTCAAAAATGGTTAGGGAAATATAAACAATCACATTGTTAGGTTTTGGGAAATCTCCCTATAAATCACATTCACCGCCTTGCTGAAGAAATTTATTTCTTTTTAACATATGATTATATTAAGACGTCTTTGGCCATTATTAAAACTTATCTCACAAGGTATAAATCAAGTTGTATGAAGAATTTTATTCACAATGCAAACATATTGATTATAAAAATTCCGAATAGATAAATTTAAAAAGAACTCCTTAAGTCTTTTTCGTATCCCTATTGCACGCGCACATTTAGTAGAAAGTACCAATTTCATAATATTATGGAGAATAAAACAATAAGAAAAAATATTATTTTATGTAATTGGAGAATCTCACGAGGTGTATGTACTCACAATTAACATATTACTATCCTCCGTTCCATAAAAGTTGCAACAGTTTGACTTTCACGTTTGTCAACGCGCAACTTTGACTGTAATTATATTTATTTACGTATTAGTAAACATTAAAAAAAGTTAATATATTGGAAATTTACATTAATACGAATTTATTAATATTTTATACATAATATTTTTATTATATATATTATTAGAAAATCGTAGTCAACGTAAGCTGTGTGAATAATGCTGAAATTCTAATGTTGCAACTTTTATGAAACGGAGGAAGTATATTACGTAGTGTATGTTTGATCAATAATATTTCAATTCTTTAACTCGACAATCTATAATGTGAAATGCATATGGAAATAAAAGAGTTAGTCCTATTGGTGCAAATATTAGTCTTATGTAGGGCTATGACCATTTATAATGGTACAGAGGCCAAAATGTCAAAAATGGACTCCGTCCATATGAAAACATTGTTTAAACTCCTATTTTCATGCATTCCAGCATCGTCAATAATATATACTTAGGATATTTT